GCATAATAGCTGAAGCAAAAGACAAAAAAAAAAAATTAGCCTTTATGTATTGTTCAAGAACCTTAAAGAGAATGTGAATAAATCCATTAATGAAATCTTTGAAAACACAAACATTGGAATGAAATGAAGAAAACAGTTCAAGATGAGAAAATGGAAATTGAATCATTAACAAAAATCCAAACTGAGGTAAAATTGAAAATGAAAAATTAGTGTGCCAAATTAAACCTCAGAGGCAAGTTTCACCAACAGAATACAAAAGATGAAATAGAGAATCTCTGGCATTGCAGTTAGAAGAAATGGAATCCTTGGTCAAAGACAATGTTAAATCTAATACGTATGTATGTATGTATGTATGTATGTATATGTATATATATATTTGTAAGGGAAAAGGACTAAGTAACATTTAAAGACAGACCTATTAGATTAACTCTTAGCTTTTCAGTGGTGTCTATAAAAGCCAGAAGGGCCTGGATGAATGTTTCACAAACTAAGACACTATAGATGCCAGCCCAGACTTCTATATCCAGCAAAACTTTCAAACACTAATTGAGAAAGACACTATACTATTAACACAAAAATTAAGCATCCAGCTATACAGAAGACACTAGAAGGAAAATTTCAACTTGAAAACAAGAAATGAACAATCTCAGACCAGTGAGTAGGTGTGGGAGAGTTTGACTCACAGCACAACAGCAAAATAACAGAAATCAACATATACTGCTCATTGATAACTCAACATCAGTGGTCTCACTTCCACAATAAAAAGACAGATAATAGCAGATTAGGTTAGAAAACAGGATCCACCTTTCTGCTGAATGCAAGAAACACCTTAACATCAAGGATACATATCATCCTAGAGTCAGTGGATGCCAAAAGATGTTTCTAGCTAAAGAACCCAAGAAGCAAACCAGTGTAGCCGCTTTAATATCTGGCAAAATAGTCTACAGAGCAAAATTAATCAGAAGAAAGAGGAAAACACAATATATATTCATCAAAGGGAAAAATCCACCAAGAGGATATTGCAGTTGTAATATGGACCAAACACAAAAGCACCCAAGTTCATAAAAAAAAAAAACACTACTACAACTGAAATCACATACTAACCCTCACACAGTGGTAGTGAGTGACTTCAGTAACTCACTCTTGCTAATACACAGATCATCCAGCCAAAAACCAAACAGAAAAATGTTGGAGCTAAATCGTATCACAAACCAAATGGACCTGACAGATATTTATAGAACTTTTATCTTAGACACAAAAGAATAACCATTTCCATCAGCTCATGAAACTCTCTCCAAAACTAACCTGATATTTGAATGCAAAGCAAGTATGTATAGATAGAAGAAAATTGAAATAACATTTTGCATTCCTATGAGACCAGTACAAATAAAAGCTGTATATCAATAACAGAAAACTTACAAACACAGGGAAGCTGAACAAGACACTACTAAATGAAAAATATGTAAAGATACAAAAAGAAATGTAAAACATTTTAAAATTGATTGAAAATGAAAAGAAAACATCTCCAAACTTAGGGGACACAATGTAGGCAAGCACATAGACAGTGGTTGACAACCTTCCTTATACTGTAACACTTTAATACAATTTCTTGTATGTTGGTTACCCCCATCCATAAAATTATTTCCTTACTAGTTCATAAATGTAATTTTCTGCAGTTATGAATTCTAAGTACCAGATATGCAGGATATTGGATGTTACCCCAGGAAAAGGATCATTTGACTTCCAAGGGGTCACAACCCACAGGTTGAGAACCACTGGGTTAAGTGCTTACATAAAAATGTTGGAGAAATCTTATGTTAGTGAACTACACACTGTGAAGCTGTAGAACAGAAGCAAAATACAAAACATGGAAAAGGAAGAACACCCAAAAGCAGTAGACAGCAAGAAATAATTAAACTTGGGTCCAAAACCAACAGAATATAAACCAGGTAATAAAAACCACCACAGAGAATCAAGGAAGCAGAAAGTTGGTTCTTTTAGAAAAACCAATAGAAACCTTTAGTCAAATTAACTGAACAAAGAGAGCATACAAATACAAAAGACTGAAGATGACAGGGGTGGTATTAACAACAGACACTAAAGAAATTGAGACATATATTTTAAAAACCTGTACTCTGCCAAATGGAAAAATGTAACAGAAATTTATAATTTTTGTGATATATACCATGTACTAAAGTTAAAAATCATTTCAATGGACCCATAACCCCTAATGAAATAGAAGCAATCATTAAAATCTCCTATACCCAAAAACATTCCAGGGCCAGATGGTTTTAGGGCCCACTTCTACCAGACTTTCAAAGAAGAATTAATGCTGATGCTCCTCAGATTATTCTACAAAATAGACACAAGGCCACAGCAAGTCCCAACAAAGAATTACAGATCAAATTCCCTCATGAACATAATTGTAAGAAACTCAGTAAAATACTTAAAAGCCCGTGTCCAAGAAACATCAAAAAAAATTGGATATGATCAAGTAGGGATAGTTCAACATATATAAATCAATAAATGTAATCCACCTTATAAACTGATAGACAAAAACTCTATGATTGTCTCATTATATGCAGAAAAATCCTTTGACAAAACCCAACATCCCTTCCTGATAAAAATTTTGGAGAGATTAGTGATATAAGGGACCTAACCTAAACATAAGAAAGGCAGTTTACCGAAAGCCCACATACAGCATTAAGTTAAATGGGAAGAAATTCCAAATACTTCGACTAAAACCAAGAAAAAGACTGTTTGCTCTGTTCATATCTGTTCAATATTATACTTGCTACCTAGGTAGGTCAATTACAAAACTGAAGGGGACCAAGAATATATATGTCTTAGTCAATATTCTTTTGCTGTGTAGAGATACCATGACCACAAGAACTCTATAAAGGAAACATTTAATTAGTTCTCACTTGCAGTTTTAGAGTTTTAGTCCATTATAGCCATGACAGGAAGCATGATTGTATCCAGACAGGCATGGTGCTAGAGAGGTAAATGAGTGTTGTACATCTAGATCAGTAGGAAGCAGGAAGGGAGAACTATTTGACAAAGCCCAGCTCTGACATACTTCCCTCATCAAACCCACACCTCCTAATCTTTTAAGTACCACCACTCCCAAATGACGAAGCATTCAAATATCTGAGCATATGGAGAGCATTCATAATCAAACAATATATATAGTCATTGTCTTTATTTGTACATGGTATGATTATCTTGGTATGATTTTATCTAGTCTGAAAGAGTATCCCTCCATAGGGAATGGGCTACAAAATGCACTAGGGACAAATGCTGGTTCCATTTCAAGCAGCACCATAGACTGCCCAAGCCCCCCAACTGATACCCACATTCAGGGGGCCTACTTAGGTCTTATGCAGGTTCCCTAGCTGTCTGTAGTCTGTGAACTCCCACTTGCTCAGTTTCCCCAGCGTGATCCACACCCTTTGCTCATCACTCCTCCCTCTCTACATCTGGATTCCAGGAGTTCGAGTCAGTGCTTAGCTGTGGGTGTCTGCTTCTGCTTCCATCAGCCTCTGGATGAAGGCTCTATGATAGCATTTAAGGTAGTCATCAATCTCATTTTAGGTGAAGGGCATTAAGGTAGCCTCTCTGCTGTTGCTTAGATTCTTAGTTGGGGTCATCCTTGTGGATTCCTGGACATTTCCCTAGTGCCAGATTTCTTGTAACCCCCATAATGGCTCCTTCTATCAAAGTATCTCTTTCCTTGCTCTCCTTCTCTGTTCTCCCCCCAACTTGACCTTCCTGATCCCTTATGTCTTTCTCCCCCCTTCTTCTCTCTCCCCCCCTCCCAATTTACTCAGGAGATCTTGTCCCTTTCCCCTTCTCAGAGGACCATGTATGTCTCTCTTCTGGTTCTCCTGGTTCCCTTGCTTCTCTGGGGTTGTGGATTGTAGGTTGATAATCCTTTGCTCTATGTCTGATATTCACTTATAAGGGAGTACACAGCATGTTTGTCTCTCCATGTCTGGGTTACCTCACTCAAGATCGTTTCTTGTAATTCCATCCATTTGCCTGTGAATTTCAGGATGTTATTGTTTTTTTACCACTGAGTAATGTGGTAAATGTATCACATTTTACTTATCCATTCTTCGAAAGCATCTAGATTGCTTCCAGGTTCTGGCTGTTACAAATAATGCTGCTATGAACATAGCTGAAGAGATGTCCTTGTTGTATGAATGTGCATCCTTTGGGTATATGCCTAAGAGTGGAATTGCTGGGTCTTGAGGTAGATTGATTCCCATTTTCCTGAGAAACTGGACAGGCTGGGTTTGTAAACTGTCAGATCATGTGACTGTACAATACAGATCTGACTTTATATTTTCTGCATCCATATTCTTGGTCTCTCTCTCTCTCTCTCTCTCTCTCTCTCTCTCTCTCTCTCTCTCTCTCTCTCTCTCTCCCTTTCTCCCTCTCTCCCAGAGCCTTTCTCGTATTAGGTGAAAGTTGTTAATTTCCACAGCCCCAGAAAAATAATGTAGAATGTTTTATTTTGTTCCCTGTATGTCTTCAGGTTTTCATGGAACACTTCCTTAAATTAATTTGGCAGTGGTATTGGGTTTTTTTTTTGTAGAAAATAATAGAGAATCATAAAATTTGTTTTGTATTTTTAAATAAGCATATTGTTATTTTATCAAATGCTTTAGATACTTTAATTTAAAATAATATAATTTTTAGTCGGGCATTGATGGAGGCAGAGGCAGGTGAATCTCTGTGAGTTTGAGGCCAGCCTGGTCTACAGAGCGAGTCCAGGATAACCTCCAAAGCAATACAGAGAAACCCTGTCTTGAAGAAACTAACAAAAAAATAATAATTAATTAATTACAAAATAAGATAATTCAATTTTTAATAATAGAGAATGGTAAATTTTGTTTGGTATTTTTAAAGAAGCATATTCTTATTTTATCAACTGCTTTAAAATACTTTAATTTAGAATAATTTAACTTTTTGTTAAATACTTTTTTGTTTCCTAGATTATTGCTCAGTAGTAACAATTGTGGACCAGACAAATGTGAAGTTAACATGCATGCTCTTTAGTGGAAACTACGAAGCCCTTCCAATCATTTATAAAGTTGGAGACATTGTTCGCTTTCACAGGCTGAAGGTATAATTCATACTTTCTACAACCTGCATTTATTAGACAAGAAGTCTGTATTGTTCATTAATCATAGTTAGTACTAATTAATATGACTGGCTTGTTTAAAAGTGACATTAAGCATTTCAAGAGCTAAGAAATGTAAATAGTATCTGGCTTCAATTAGTAGCTGTACACCTCCTCATTTAAATAAAAGTTCCATCCTGTTTCCCTAGATGTACACTGAAATCCGTGATTTTAACTGGTTCCAGTTCGTCCTGTCTTTTCTGAATATGGTTGATATTGTCAAGTTTCCATGTAGCCTGTGGAAGGGATAGGATACATCCTTCTAATTTCTTTTTAATTAATTTAATTTTATTTAAGACTGGGTACCTACCTATGGTACTCTGACTGGCTTCAAACTCCTAAAGTGCTGAGTTATGTAGTCCTGGTAAGCTGAGGAAGGGAATACTGAAACTCAACTCAGCTAAATGAACTTAACTGATGCCTGATAATTTAAGGCCATTCCATGAGATAGATTCCATCCCTGGTACCTAAAAGAAAGCCAAATACTAGTGTTCTGCTATACTCATAGATTTTCCTCAGTCATCATGAGAGTTTCCTCCTCAGCCATCTTCAGAGAAGCTTTCTCCTGCAGTAGCAGAGACCCACAGCTGGACAATGTGCAAAGAGTGAGAGACCTCGGAACACTCAGTCCTAAATGGGATGTCTCCATCAAATCCCTCTGGAAGAGTAGGAGAACATAGAACCATAGCCATAATGTTTATATAGAGAATGAATCTGTACTCTTACTACCAGAAAACTATAATCTCAAATAATATCAAGAATCAAATATGTGCTACCTACAAAAAATGTACTTTGAATATGATTACAAAAGCAAATTGGAAAAGTATAAGAAAAAATCTTATAAGGCAATCAGAATATGAAATAATTATTTTATTGTCAGACATAAGGTATTTCTAGAGATTTCAAGGGGGGACAAATCAGTTCTTGAAGAAAATATTAAGACTACATATTTGGTATTTGTATATTTATAAAAGTCCACAGGCTTACACAGTAAAAGGCCTCACAGCATGGTTCAGATGCTCAGTCATAAAGATGCCTTATCATCCAGTGTATTCATTACTTTACATATTCATGCGTTCAGCATTTGACTAAATCACATAGATGACTGTCCATAATACTTTACCCTTGTGAAAACTGTGCATAATAAAAACTTAGAATTTGGATAATACTGCTTTTTAAAAATTACAAATTTCAGCCAGGTGGTAGTGGCACATGCCTTTAATTCCAGCTCTTGGGAAGCAGAGGCAAGCAGATTTCTGAATTTGGGGCCAGCCTGGTCTACAAAGCTACACAGATAAACCCTGTCAAAAAACCCCAAAAATTTTAGTGTTTTAAAGTTTGCATAGTTATGTGTCTTGACATAGCATAGTTGAGTTGATTGTATTGTTTGTGAACTACTTCAATGATAAATAAGAATTACTTTTATGTATACCAGAAAAATTTGTCATTTCCAATTCCTTGGTTCCTGAGTTTTTTATCCTTAAGTGTCTTAGTCACAGTTCTTTATTTGTGAAGAGACACAATGACCATGGCAACTGTTATTTTTAAAAAAGCATTTGTGGCTTGCTTATAGTTTCAGAGGTTTAGTCCATTTTCATGATTGTGGGGGGGTCTTGACCTCAGACACAGCAGGCATGGTACTGGAGAAGTAGCTTAGAGCTCCATATCCTGAAGAGAGAGGGGGTGGGGAAGGGAGGGGGAGAGAGAGAGAGAGGGAGGGAGGGAGGGAGGGAGGGAGGGAGGGAGGGAGGGAGGGAGGGAGGGAGGGAGGGAGGGAGGAGACCCTGGGTCTGGCATGGGCTTTTGAAACTTCAAAGCCCACCTCCAGTGACACACTTCCTCCAATAGGCCACACCTCCTAATCCTTCTAATCCTATCAGAGTTCTCCTCCCTGGTGACTCAGCATTCAAACATCTGAACCTATGGAGCCATTCTTACTCAAAGCACCACAGTAAGCTGTTTTGTTTCCCACCTTGTCTCACTTTCTTAGATCCAAGTCTATAAAAATGAGCTTCAGGGAATCAACAGCTCTGGGTTTGCATCTCTGACCTTTGAAGGAACTTTAGGGACTCCTGTCACAGCGCGTACTTCAAGCAAACTGTTTAGCTTCACTGCTCAAGATGAAAAAATGGTAGAAGCCTTGCGGGTTTGGGCATCCACACACATTTCAGCCTCTTCAACTCTAGTGCAGCTGTGTGATGTTCAACCCATGCAGTACTATGACCTCACTTGTCAGCTCCTGGGAAAAGCAGAAGTGGATGGAACAGCATTTCTTCTAAAGGTATAATTTAAATATTTGACATCATGCTTTAGTGCCATATAACTGTCAAGAGGGAGTCTGCAGCATTCTGAAACTGTGTGTAGACTCCATTTTATACTGTTAAATTTAATGTATTGTTATTGAAGCACACCCACACACACTTTACTTAATTCTGTTCCTGCATTTTTCTGTGCTTTCCCTCCAGAGAAAAAATAGCATTTATCAATAAGAATTCTAGAAACAATATGACATTCATTTATTTTAATAATAAATGAATTCTGTTGTCTTTAGTGACACTTCTGTGTGGATATTTCTGTTGCTTTGTGAAAGTCAATTATATTGTCACCCTTTTACTTTCTGGGTATATTGCTCTTAAGTTATGTTCCCATGTCTTTCACTGCCTGGTTCATGAAAATAGGCATAAGTAACTTTGAAATGTTTGTTATTATGTTTGTTTTGTTTTTAAGTCACATAGAAAAAAATAGTCACATAAATGCTATACAATCTTCATTTATTCCTATGCCATGAATAACCTGGGGATGGTAGTTACTTAATTATTTTCCTTGCTTGACCAATATAGAAGGTTTTCTTAGCAGCACTGTTTCGGCCAAGATCCTGTGCTTGTCTATTTGGAATAATCAGACAAGAAATGGAATGCCTTAGTACTTAGCTAAGACAGGGCTTAACATTACTGTTATTGCTGGCACAGCTTAAAGAACACTGGAAATAGAAATCACTGGGTAAAATACCAAGTTGTTGGGGTTGAAAGTAGTAGCTTTATGTAAACATAGAGCTTAGAAAGTAAATTTTTATTTTAAGGAAAGTTAAGTCAAGTAAAGCCTAACTAAACCAAAGAAATGTAATATCATCTAGGGTTAGAAAGAATCCTAGATGAGTAATTTATGTTCCCTGGCCAATGTGACACCCTTAACACATAACTGTTGAATATTACCAGGAACAAAGAGAAGCTGGCTCTTTGCAGATAGCATTTATTGACTGTTAAGATGATAGAAACAAAACTACAGTTCTGAGATAAAGCCTGCCCACTGTGTAGCAGATAGAGTCAAAACTGTGGTTTTCTATCTAAAGAACACATGTTTGCCTATTGCCTTTTTTATTAGATAATCTGATTTCAGAAAAGTCGGCCTTGGAGAAAGGGCTTACTTTGTTGTCTGTTAAAATTTATTCTTTTGAGAGTTTCATAAATGTATACTGTGAAATGTGATCCTGTCCAATGCCTATTTCCTCCTTTATCTTCCCCTCAGTTATTCCCACAAAGCATCCCACTCCTGCCTTCATATTCTTTCCTTCCTCACTAACTCCACTTAGTGCTGCCCATATGTCCATTACCCAGAGCATGGCCACTCTACCAGTTGCACACTCCCCAAGAAACATGATTCTTCTGACGCCAGAAGCTATTAATGGCCAGTAGCGTCTCAGGTATGAAACCTAGTCAGCTCCTCCCATTCTAGGCTTGAATGTTAGCAGGGCTGAATAAGGTCAAGAAACTTATTTTAATGTTCAACACTGAGAAATAAATGTAAGAAAATTAATGAGGCTTTTTTTGAGGATAGCTTGATATATGTCCCAAAAGCCTTTGCAAATCATTTATCCATTTATTTTTATGAATTTCCTTTATTGAAATAATTTTAAATGCATGAAAAAGTATACTTGAAATAATAGTTTACCTTATACACAATCAAAACCTGGAAGGAAAAAAATATAGTAATTGATTGTTTGAACTCTTTGTGGTAGAATGCTTTATGACTGTTTAGCGAAATTGTAGACATAAACCTGTTGAAATAAACTTTAATAATAGTCTGCTAGTACTAGATCCTAACATATATTAAAGATGTTCCTGTATTAGCAAAAATATTCTGAGAAGTATATAGAGCAATGTTTTACTGTTAGCAACTTTGAAGGAATAGAATTATAATTCATTTTTTTCTGATGTTGATTTTCTCATGTATCAGAAATAACTTTTAATTAAATATTAAAAGCAGTAAAATAGTCATTCTTTTTAAATTATGCTTATTAGTATGCAACATAATACTTTCTTTTTCAACCTGAGCACAATGTAATCTTGGTTCCTTTTTAATAATCATGATATACCCATTTCAGATTTTCTCAATAGCCATGTGTTCTAGTATCATTTCTGTTGCTTTGATAAGACACTTTGACCAAAATCAACTTAGGGAAGGGAAGAGTTATTTGGCTTATACCTCCAGATTACAGTCCAGATGGAAGTCAGGATAGGTATTCAAGCAAGAACTTGAAAGTGTCCCGTTCCACCCACATTATTTCTAGATGTGGAACTCATGCGCAGTTGAGGAAGTGTGGCAGAAGTCACAAAGGACACTTCGTTTGCTCGCTTGTAGACCAGCTTATGCACAGTTAGTGTTCTTATGTGGTTCAGGACCACCTGCCTGAGAATGATGCTGCTCACAGTAAACTGGGCCTTCCTGCATCAATGAACAGTTAACAACAAGTCCCTTGCAGACGTGCACACACTGAATCAGACAGGTCTTCAATGGACACCTTCCTCCCAGATGAGTCTCGGCTGTGGCAGCACCATTTAACTGTGGTTTGCATTTAAGCCGTAATTAAATAAATCATTTTTAGGAATGCATTTTACTTTTTAATACATGTGTCTATGTAGTGTATACACAGCTATGCAGGTGCCTAGAAAGTCCAGAAATGTGTCTTAGATCCCCTAAAGATGGAGTTACAGGAAATTGAAAGATAATTGACATGGGTGCTGAAAACCAAACTAATGGCTTCTTCAAGGATGGAATGGTATCGTTGAGCGTATCTCTAGCCCTCAGCAATCTTTAAACAAACCATTCTTTCACTTTTCCCTATTATTCTGTTCATCTGATGTAGATGCCGAGAAATTCTTGTAAGTATAGATTTCCTTAAGCTTATGCTAGTATCTTGATACTCAGTTTGAAACAGGCATAATCTTGTTGAATTAATGTTTTGATTTTGTCTCATATCTTTGTTTTCTGTAGTAACCAGAAGTTACATATACCCAGAACTGAGGACTGTAGTGGGGAGATAAAGAGAAGGAGAGGTGGGTGGGTGAAGAAGGGGAGGTGTTTGAGCACACAATTGGAAAAAAAGGCAAAGGCTACAGCTAGTTAATATTTGGTTTCGTATCATACAGCAACTTTTCATTTTTAAATCTTTTTACATTTTTCTGCATATAGTTCATATTTAGCCTTTTCTCAGTCCCAGAAGGATACATAGCACATTTAAAAGTATGAAAGATACTGAGCAGCATGCATCAATTCATTTTTAGGTTTGCCTTAGTGTTTTTGTATAAAGATCATTAAGCTTTTCTTTATTGTCCCACGACAGGTATGGGACGGGACAAGGACGGTGTTTCCCTCTTGGAGAGTATCCATACAAGATCTTAGTTTTGAAGGTGATTTAAGTCACATTCTACGGCTCCAGAGTCTGGTGATAGACATTCTAGTCTATGATAACCATGTTCAAGTGGCAAAATCCCTGAAGGTGATGTTGAGTAGAAAGATGCTATTTTTGTTTTTCTTTCTGGTTTTGTAATTTTTGTACATATATTGTTTGTTGGTGATATTTGGTGTCTGAAATTAACCAGATTTGTCTTCAAGTTTTAAGTTATAAAACATGTGTCCAAATTAATTTTAAACCTCTGAATATGTTTTATATATACATACATTTTAAATTACTTTTGAGAATACAATTACATTACTATCCCTCTTTTATTCCCCTCTCCTTCCTCCCTACCATGTACTTCCCATCCCTTGATTATCTATGTGTTTGTGTTTCCTAAAAAAGTAAACAGTATCTGTTTAGTCCTTATAAATATTACTTGTATATGTGTTTTCAGGCCTGGCCATTTGGTATTAGACAACCAATTGGTGTGCTCTTCCCTAGGAAGACACTCTTCAGTTGTCTGTAGTTCTTTGTCTGGGGTGTTTGGGGTTCGGGCCTTGTGAGCTCTCCCCTCTTTCATTAACATGTCTATTGGTGTCATCCTTGTTCATATCATGTTTAGCAAGCCCTGTTGGTAGGACTTAATAGGTTTAGCTTCTCTGCTATTTCTAGCAGGTACAATCTCATAACAAACTTCCTGTATTTGTGGCTCTTAGACAATCTTCTTTCCCTCTGTTCTGAAATATTCCCTGAGTTTTAGATGCAGTTATGTTGTAAGTAGATACACTGGTCTAAGCCCTACATTTCTGCATCTTGATTGGTTGTGGTCTTCTGTGATGGTCCTTGTTTTAAAGAGAAATTTTCTTCGGTGAAGGTTGAGAACTACAGTTTTCTATGTGCATGTGTCTAAGAATAAATTTTTAGAAAGTAGTTAGAGCATATGTTGGTTTAGTAAAGTGTCAGTTGTAGGTTCTCCTCCAAGATCCATGACTTCACTAATCCCAGGTAATTGACTAGGTTCACAGTACCAGACATAATTTCCCTTTTGTTTAGAGAGTTGTTGGGTACCACCAAGGTATACTTTCCACGATTGTAACCATACTGTTATCATGCCATGTTGGTCATTGTTGTTGTTCATGGGCATCACAGCTGGATAGGTCTGTTGGCTGCTTCTTCCTTTGGAAACTTTCGTGATGCCTCATGGAGGGGGCTTTCAGATCAGATCCACCTCAGGTTTCCTGGGTCCTGTGTCCAAAGTAATGGAGTCTTCAGCATGGTGCCCTTAGCCTCTGGGGGACAATAGCAATAGCCAGTGTTTTAGAAGTCTCTCAGAGAACCCTGATCAACAACTCCAAAGAGGAATTCTCATGTATTTGGAGGTTGTTTTGTTTTTTTCTACAGCTAGAAATAGTAAAGATTTATGATGTGCAGAATGTTACTTTTAAACAAACAGAAATGCATAAAATTTTCAGAAACTTTTTAAAAGAAATTTCAACTTTAATGAGGAATAAGAATAATATAGTTTTAATCATCAGAAAGCCATCACTAAAGCAATATTTATCTTTACCAAAATAATAATGACAAATTATTTTATTTAAATGGGTAGCATTGTCAACATGTATATGCTACTAATACTGGTTTTCACTTGCAAAGTCCACTTAGATGTAACTTGGCTAGAAAGAGTGGAAATATGTGACTTTTCTTCATACACAACATATATGATGCAAAATATTTTCTTTTAATAAAGTTTTCAAGGCATTATACAAACAAAAATTTTACATTCAGTAAATAAAAATCTTTATGTAGTATATTTTCTTTAGAATCTCCATGTTTTCTTTTTATTTTTCCAAAAATAAGAGGTTTAGTTATTAGTGTCTGCTGGAGCAGAATCTGAGAATCTGGGAGCAGATCCTGCAGCAGCTGCTCTAGCTCCCGCTCCTGCTATTCTGCAGCTCCTGTTCCATGCGCCACCAGGCCAGGTTCAAGACAGCCAGCAAGAAGTCTCTGTTCCTTGTGCGAAAGTACAGGATGAGGTTCAGACTCATCTCACGTCACTGTTTGCCCAGGGCGCATTAGGCACTGACCTCAAGGTCTGTTCCAGGTGAAGTCACAGTAGTTCTCTGGAGTGGACACATGACTAAGGATCGAGCCCTGGTTCCAGCTCTCTAACTGATTCTCGTGAAACTTTCTGAATTGTTTTGATACAGTGTAGACTTAACTTTGTGCATATTGCTTTGAGAAAGTATTATACCACCTCTAGTGTGCATAGTAATTTGGATGGGTTCTTGTGTATTGTCGGTCCTTATTTACTGTCTAGGGAAACTTGGTGGTTCTTACTGAATTTAGACTCACAAATGGTAAAGGACAGTTTTCCTTCATTTTTATCCGTAGTTTTTGGAAGTCTCCTATAGCAGATAACATTAGCATGAATAGCAATACCCAGAGTAGCATTTGCAAGGTACTCATGCTGATTTGGATATTACCCCAGGAGGGAAATGCTGGCTTCATTCCATTTTATATGAGAAAGTGAGACATTCAGAAGTTAAATCCCCAATGTCTGTTTTCAGGTCTAATAAAAGATGAAAGGAAATGTTCTTTGTGGTAGATCATTTCAGCCTATTTATAAGTAGAGAAAACACAGAAATTAATCTGTAATTTAGTGAAGTTCCCTTTATTTAAACAAATATCCTTGAGAAGAAAACTCTTCTACTCAGATATTGTGCTACAATTATCTTAGCTGACCTAGATCAATAAACTATGTGATGGGCAGGGCCAGAGGTAGTGACAACACTTTCTTATCCTTGATAAATGTGTGTGTGTATGTCGGCACCAGTAGTTGATGAAAAACACTTTTAAAGATAGGCTTTCAGGAGATTTCTCTAAAGATGCTGTCTACAGTGATTGATTTGCCATTGAATCATTGAAGTTGCTTTTGTAATACACAGGAAGGAGGACTCTTTAGTAAGTAGAAAGGATGTACACTTTTACTCAGCTCCATAATCTACTTTGACCATTTGATTATTTGGATTCTCTTCCATTCCCCTAGGCATGCTCTCTCCACCTGTCCTTCTTCTCTTCCCTAAATCCGAAATATCACAATGCAAAGGAGCTCAGCGCAATGAGAATTAAAACGTACTTTCTAGGTTAGAGAGAACAAGAATGCTGGGAATGGGTATTCAGCAGTTTTAATTTTACTGTGTCCTCTATATTGTCCACTAGAGGGTGACATGAGCACACATAATTAAGAAAATAGATAGCACACCATTTCTCTGATATGAGAAGAGTAGTATCAGAATGCAAAGAATTCACTCTGTGTGTGATACAAACTTTACATTACTTACTTACTATTCCTTGGTACCACTTGTATTTATTTTCTGACAACCTTTGAAACATCAAAACAGGAAACCTGCAATCATATGTCACTGATGCAAATATCTTCTCAGGACTTCAAGGCAGATGTTCAGATTTGCATTTTCATAGCATACATGGGATAATTTTATAGTGGGTTGTATAGGTGTAGGAAATGTTTTTTTAAATGACAATAGTTAATGAAAGTAAGAAGCATAATATTATCAACTTCCAGAAATAATACACTCTTATCCTGCTGCAATTCTTAAAATAGCATAAAACATACATAGTCATAATCACATTTTGGCATCTACTGGCCCAGTAACTGTAGTTAGCTATAGGAGAAAATAAAAACACTGCACCTTTTTTTTTTCCTTGTTAATTGGAGAATACCCTTTTCTAGAGGCATTAGTGACTTCTTTCTCACCATATACTTTTAATGGTTATCTGTTGATCAGATCCTCACAATGGATTAAATTGCACCCATTTTTATTGCAAGTCCTTAACTTGTAGCTTTGGAATCTTACTGCATTACTAATAAGACTAAGCAGTACAATCAGGCACATTTCATAATATTTACTCAATCTTTACAATGCTGCCTCCAGAAGGCATTTTTGATAATAACAATTTGTCATCTGTACTCCGTGATCTGCTCAGAGAAATAAGTTCTATGCTCACCTATGCATTTTATATACTATTGCAGTGTAGTGAAGGAAACACATAGTATATACTATGCATTTACCATTTATACCTTATCCTTAATGTTTTACCACATTTATTTCAGATTCCTCTGCAGCAAAGCTGTGCATGGGGCCTTCTTAAGTGTCTGCTGATCTCAGTCTCTTGCACCTCAGGCTCTTCTTACTCCAGCACGTAGCTATACTTAGCTTAGGGTGTGTGTTAATTATACTTTGTCTTGCCCGCATCCTACTCTTCAGAACAGTTTTGACCTTTTTCTTCCATACACGTTTCGGAAAAAGTTTTCAGATGTCATGAAAGACACTGAAGTTTCTGGTTAAAATTGCCTTAAGTTTAAAACTTAAAGAAATTAAGCTTCAGATAGCTAAATTGTGTCTACTAATGGAGGTCTCTTTCCTGTGTTTGAGCTTTTTCCTAGTCCTTTGACAGTTATAGACATCTGCTATACTAATGTATAGTGAAAGTAATAAGTATTACAAAAAGCATACAAAAATAGATATTTTCCTATTTATTATTCTAGTATTTTACTTTGGAGTCCTCATTTGAAGTATATATTTCCCTTGTGTTTTTATGTTTTTTTTCCTGAACCTCTATATTCTCTCTCCACCTCTGATGTAAAAGCAGGTAATGGCAGTCCTTCCCTACCCTCTTCTCTACACCATTCCTGCCCCTCTCCTTCCCCGCCCCCCTTCCTGCCTCCCACCTCTAAACCTCTCTGGCCCTCCCTCCCTTTGATGATTTTCTAATATATTGTTACCACAATTACACTGAATTTGTAGGGAAAAGTAGAACAGGCTGGGCGTTGGTGGCCTTTAATCCCAGCACTCGGGAGGCAGAGGCAGGCGGATCTCTGTGAGTTCGAGGCCAGCCTGGTCTACAGAGCGAGTTCCAGGACAGCCTCCAATGCCACAGAGAAACCCTGTCTCGAAAAACCAAAAAAAAAAAAAAAAAAAAAAAAGTAGAACAGTAGATTCCCATCCAACACTCAGGAATGCTGCTTATATGTAAGTGAATTAAACTCCTTTGGTTTCCTCCCCTTTTGCTTATAAGTCTACATAAAACACATGGAGTATATATACATATGTATATGTATATATATATATATATGCATGCTTATATTGTGTAGCATGTTCCTTTGGGTAGATGTCAATGTTTATATTTATTATATTATATTATAATGCAGTTGCCTGGGCGGGATTTGAATGTGTGGGGACAAACTGTCTTCCCCCATAGAGGCTCATACAACAGCACTTGTCTCTAAATGTCAGTGTATCTCTAATACCCTACTAGGTTTGCTCATTTGTAATCTCCATTAAAGAAAATCTTCTCTAGTTAAAGAAGTTTTAGGCTAAATTTAGAACAATAGCTGAGATTGACCATAGTTCACAAAATTATGATAAAAGTACAAAAAATACTACATTAGAACTTTGCTTTTCATGGAATTTGTAGGCGAAGGGAAAACAGGTGGTGGCACATATGGGTGACACAAGTAATCAGAGGACTAAAGCAGGTGCATTCCTGTGGCTGACAAGTACCTTAGCCTATGAAATCAATACTACTATTATGCTGCTATTTTGATTATACTACGTGATTAATTTTTTTTCTAATGTCTCAGAGTGAGGACATTTTATGCCTCATTTTAAATATTATTTTAGGCTAGTTCAAAGAAGTTCTTTTCAAAACATTATTAAATAGAATTTCATTTAGGTCTTGGACTCCTTCACTGTATTGTATTAATGGACCTATGAAATGGGCCTTAGTCTGTAATGTAGTGTCCACTTGGATATGTACCTAAGCATGGTCCTGTAGATAGGTTTTAGATCTCATATGCAGTCCATGCCACTGATATTAGGCCCAGTGCTTCCATTATCTTCTTTGGATGGACAGTGCCTTTAGTCGTTGTGTCTTTGGCTACAACCTCTTACTGCTTATGAAAATTTCAACTATCAGAAATTGTTTTAATAATCCCTTTTTTCTGAAATATTATTCTTAATCTTCTTTTAGATCGGAAGCTTTCTTAGAATCTATAGCCTCCATACCAAACTTCATTCTGTTAATACAGACACCAACAGTTCATTGTTAAGGCTGGAGTTTCATCTCCATGGAGGGACCAGTTATGGTCGGGGGATCAGGGTTTTGCCAGAAACTAGCTCTTGCGTGGATCAGCTGAAAAAGTGAGTATTTTATACCCCTGCTTAGAAAACATAAATGAAATATTCATTAGATTATTTTGTAAGGTAGCCTTGTTCCTGGGGCTGTGTGAGGAGTTAGTCTTTTTCCTGTTTCTCTTCTTTGCTTTGCTGAAAATCAACCCCAGACTCTTGAAACTACTAGGCAGACTGTATCACTGGATTATATTCCTATCACTATCTCTGTGTTTTGTTTTTTAGACTACATAAACCAAATGAAACAAGTGATTTTACATGCAAGTAGTAAGTTAGTCACCAACATTATAACTTATGTTGTTCTAACAGTTAAAAAATCTGATTTTCATTTTTTCTTTTGTTGTGGTCTTTTCCATTTCCTACACTAGTAACAAACAATGGTAAGCAGGTTTCATCCAGTTACAAACTATTATATGATTATATTTTGAGAATTCAAGAACTTATTTAGTCAAACTTCCAAAAAAAAAGATCATTCTAAAGTACTTCTCAATAAATACATCACGAATGTGGCAGTATGTCACAGTTATAAAACATTTTAAGGGATATTTTAAAGTTTTTAGAAAATAGTATGTTCTTAAATCAGTTTCCTTCTTTCTTTGGTGTTTTTAGTGGGCACTATAAAGAGAAACTTTTTCACCATATTCTTTAGGAGGAAATCCATATATCTTCAAAGAGAAAGTACACTGTTATTTATAAAACAAAATAAAATTATTGTCATCCAAGGTTTAATTTGCTTCAGTTACCTTTGACATTAAGTTTCTATTTTACAGTTCCATATGATTTTAATACACAGTATGTCAGAACACTATTTCATGTTTCATGTTTTTACTTTTTCATACATGCATTTTGAGCATATCTTTTCCCTTTCCCACCTACTCCATCCTTTCCCACATCCCTACCCATGTGACTTCACACCCTCCAACATCCCTACCATCTAACTTCACACCCTCCAACATCCCTACCATCTGACTTCACACCCTCCAACATCCCTACCCATCTGACTTCACACCCTCTAACATCCCTACCCATGTGACTTCACACCCTCTAACATCCCTACCATCTGACTTCACACCCTCTAACATCCCTACCCATCTGACTTCACACCCTCTAACATCCCTACCATCTGACTTCACACCCTCCAACATCCCTGCCATCTGACTTCACACCCTCCAACATCCCTACCATCTAACTTCACACCCTCCAACATCCCTACCATCTGACTTCACACCCTCCAACATCCCTACCCATGTGACTTCACACCCTCTAACATCCCTACCATCTGACTTCACACCCTCTAACATCCCTACCCATCTGACTTCACACCCTCTAACATCCCTACCCATGTGACTTCACACCCTCCAACATCCCTACCATCTGACTTCACACCCTCTTAACATCCCTACCCATCTACTTTACACCCTCTAACATCCTTACCCATCTGACTTTACACCCTCCAACATCCCTACCCATCTGACTTCACACCCTCTAACATCCCTACCCATCTACTTCACACCCTCTAACATCCCTACCCATCTGACTTCATACTCTCTCTAGAAAAAAGGAAAACAAATCAAAATAGATAAACTAAAAACAGAAAATCAGTAAGACAAAAAAGAGCAAGAAAACAAAACGTGGAGTCCATTTTGTGCTGGCCATGTACTTAGGAGCATGGGGTCTGTCCAGGAGGGGATGACATACTCAATGATCCTCCGTTGGTGAAAACTGATTTTCCCTTTCCCAGTAGGTATTAGTTGCAAATGATTCCTGATTAAGGGTGGCACTTTGTGTCCACTTCCTCTTCTCAGTGCTGGGATTTTGTCTGGTTTGTCTGTGTATGTATTTCCGTGTTCTGGCAGTGTCTGAGCCCATGTGTGCATCAGTCCTTTTGCGTCTGGAAGATGATATTTCTGAAGAAAAATCACCACCACTGGCTTTTGCAGTCTTTATGCCTTTTCTCCTGCATTGATCCCTGAGCTTTGAGAGGAACAATTTGATGAAGAAATCCTGTTTAGGGATGAGTGTTCCAAAGACTCATTTTCTAGTTGTGGATCATTTTGTTAACTATCATCTACTATAAGAGGAAGCTTCCATGATGATGCTGAGTGATGCTCAGCCTTAAATCCAATTTTAAAAATGATTGGTTACTCCTTTAACATATGTACCACTATTGAACCAGTGTATGTATTGTTGGAGGATTTCTGATGTAGGTTGCATGGTTTATAGCTGGGTGAAATGGATTTTAATTCTGAGCTTAATTATTTTTCCCATCTCTTCTTTTTGAGTCTTACTTCTTCTTTTTGTTCTAGAGCTTTCAAATGTGTCCAGACCCTATTTTAAGAGATTTCTCTAGTTTTTTGATGTAGGTGCTTAAAATATGCGGTCTTTTCATTAATCATAAAGAATTTTTAATTTCCTTATTCTAGCTTGATGTAATTTTCATTCAGTAATACATTGTTCAGTTTTTGTGAGTTTTTGTATGATTTCCCGTTTCTATTGTGTTGATATGCATCTTTCATAGTGGTCATATAGAATTCAGGGAGTAATTTCAATTTTTTTAAAATATATGTTGAGGTCTGCCTCATCAATTTTACAGGAAGTTTTATGGACTACTGACAAGACAGTATATTCTTTAGTATTTAGATGGGAAATTCTTAAATATCTGTTTGATCCATTTGATTTATAATGTTATTTAACATATCTCTGTTTAGTTTTGTTTAAATGGCATGTCTATTGGCAAGAACTTAGTGTTGAAATCATCCACTATCACTATGTGAGAGTCAATATGTGATTTATAACTGTGGTAGAATTTCTTTTATGAACTATGCCTTTGTGTTTGCTACATACATTTAATATTATAATATAGACTTGGTTGATTTTTTTTTACCAGGTATGTAGTGTACTTCCCTATCTCTTTATTGGTGTGAGCTTGAAGTCTTTTTTTTCAAGTGTTAAGATAACTGCACCTGTTTGCTTTTTATTTTCTTTTCATTTTTTTATTACTGTAATTTTAAATAGCTTGTTTCACATGTCAATCCCAGTTCCCTCTCCCTCCCCTCCTCCCGCACCCCCACCATCCCCCCCAGCCTCCCACCCTATCCCTACTTCCTTCCACATAGGGGATATCCAGAGTCTGTCATTTCACTCAGGGCAGGGTCCAGGCACTCCCCTAAGAGTCCAGGCTAAGAGAGCATCCCTCTTTGTGTTATAGACACACGAAGTCTGTTTGTATGCCAGGGATAAACACTGATCCACTGCTCAGGGCTCCATAGGTTGCCCAGGCCTCCTCACTGACTCTCACACTCAGGGGGTCTGGATCAGTCCCATGTTGGCCTCCCAGCTGTCGGTCTGTTTGCTTTTTAGGTCCATTAGCTTGGAATACTTTTTTCCCGCTTTACCCAGAGATGATGTCTATCCTTGGTTGTCAGTGTTGTTTCTTGAATACAGCAGAAAGATGGGTCCTGTTTTTTAATCCAGTCTGTTAGTCTATGTTTGGTTTTTTTAAATTTTAAATTAGGTTTTTGAGAGCTTTTAAGAGCAGTATTTATTAATTTCTGCTATTTTGCTGCCATAGTATGATGTGTTTCTCCCTCCCTCCCTCCCTCTCTCTCTCTCTCTCTCTCTCTCTCTCTCTCTCTCTCTCTCTCTCTCTCTCTCTCTCTCGCTCTCTCTCTCTCTCTCTCTCTCACTCACACACACACACACACACACACACACACACCCTTCTTTAGACTAACTATTCTGTGATTATTTCTTGTGACCTCTTGGGTGCAGTTACCCTTCTTTTCAGACTGAAGTTTTCCTTCTGCTGCCTTCTGTTGATTTGTATCGGTGCATATAAATTGCTTAAACTTGTTTTTTAAGGTGAAATGTTTTTTCCTGTCCTCATAAGTTATGAGTAATAATTTTTCTGGGCATAGTAGTCTGGACTAGCATCTCTGGTCTCTCATAGCTTGTAGAACAGCTGTCCAGCCCTTTAGACTTTTAGAGTCTCCATTGAGAACTTGGATGTTCAAGAAGAACTGCTTTATATGTAACTTGGTTTTTTTTTTCTCTTGTATCCTTTAATATCTTTTCTTTGTTTTGTATATTTAGTGTTTTATTATTGCGTCATGGGTAGTTTCTTTCCTGGTCGAGCCTGTTTGGTGTACTATGTGCTTCTGGTATCTTCATAAGCATCTAGATTTGAGAAAACTTTTTCTAAGAATTTTTTAAAAATATTTTTGTGTCTCTAACTTGGTTGTCTTCTTCACCTTATTATTCATAGATTTTGTTTTTTTAGTTTTTTATTATATATTTAAATTAGAAACAAGTAAAATTTTCTTTGACAAGCTATCCATTTTTTCTACATTGTCTTCAGACCTGAAATTCTCTGTTTGATTTTTTTTTTAATCTGTTACTGGGCTTATCATGAAATTTTGTTCAGCTTCTTTAGCTTTACATTTCTAATTTTATTTCAGCTTGGGTTTTCCTTAGTGATTCTTTTTCTTTGTTAAACTCTACTTGCATGTCTTGAATTCTTTTCATTCTTTCATTCGGCTATTTATATATTCATGATCTTCATGAAGGGATTTATTCATAATCTCTTTAAGGTTATTGAGCATATTCATAATTGCTATTTTTTAAGTCCTTATTTTGTGCTTTGCATAATTGTTGTTCCTGGGACCTATTGTTATATGCTCTCTGACTTCTGTAACAGGTATATTATCTTGTTCTTTGTTCTTATATTTTTCCTCTGTGATTTAGGCATCTGTAGTTATGGTATTTGAAGTGTTTCTTGGTATAGGTACCTGTTCTTGTATTTGTTGGGGGAGTTTCTGTTCTTTGGTTGCTTTTGCTCAATCTTGGCCCTATGCAAGCATGGCGGCTGTGGGGTTGCTAGTAAAGAGCTGTTCTGCTGGTTGGTCACAAAAGAATCGAGATGGCCTGGAAGGAAAGGCTAAGAGAAGTGACTGAGAAGAATTAGATACCCTAGATCTGCACCAAGCTGTTGAGTCCCAAGGGGGTAACCATGAACTGGGAGGAGGAAATCAGATAGGTAGGCTGCAGGAGGACTAAGTGTGGGGAGACCAGAGTGACATGCAGGAAGAAGAATGGTGTCCCCCTACCTGAGTCCCAAGCTAGAGTGGCAGCAGTAGGTTCCTGTAAGAAAGAGGCTCTGCAGGTCAGTGGAGTCACAAAGCAGTAAACATGGCTGGGTGCAAGGGAAGACTAACAGGCGCTGTCAGGTAGATCTAGGGAGTTCCAGGGTCTGAGTCTCTGGTGATTGAGCATGCTGTCCCAATCTTGAGTGATGTCGTTGTAACTGATAATGTTAACAATTGCATCCCCAGGTTTTTTTTTTTAATAGTATTTCATTGACTGGCTGCTCTATTCATCTTTCTGACCTCTTCTGTATATTTTGAGGGTTTGGAGCTCTCAAATAATCTGATAAAAGCTACAGACCATTGATTGGAATCATACCAAATTTTATAATTTAATGAACTCCTGCATATTGTGGGTAAAGCTGAAACTTAACTCTGTTGACTTTGTTACACCATTTGGTTTACTATTCTTTAATTTTAGAGATTTAGAAGGTGCAGATACGGCAGTCAATCAGCCCTCAAATAGTACCTGTGAGTCAGCAAATGAGGACAACTTTGAACTTTCAAGTAAGGATAATTTATAACATTGGCATTTTTCTTCCTCATAATTTTAGAATCACAGTTATCTTTTCCAGTGTTTTCTTCCTAGTATCTCTTTTTTTCAATTCATATGTCTATACGATGTGTATGTATATTAAAGTAACATCTTATGCACAATTAAGCTTAAATATATACTCACATTTTCAAATTTGAGTGATAGTGTTTATTTGATTCATGATGTATGTATAGTGTTTTATATTCATTAAAAAATCTATATGAATTTCCTAAGCAACTGTTTTGCTTGTTCTCTTCTAAAAGAAGCAAAAGGTATTGATGCTCCTTTATCTTACGCAGCCCAAGTTGTTTTGTTTATATGTGTATTGGGCGTCTAATGCATAAACATGAGTCATCCAAACCTCTCAAAAATATTCTTATTGTTGAACTGAATGGAATTGCTTTTCTATATGCTATGTTCTGATATTCATCTGTGCTGAAACAGATGTCAGTAGCTCATTTCTCAATAATCAGAAAGTGGGGGTGAGGAGAAGACTTGCAATAGAAATATTGTTTGTTTCCTTTTCATATAGATGGCTTCAGTATCTACCAAAACATCAAGTAACTCTAAATATGGTTTTATTGGAGGCTTTCTGTGCATTTTGAATTATGCAGCCTCTCTTACTAATAATTTCTAGTGGTTGCAAAGTCATTTCTTGAAAAAACTACTGTGTTCTCTGTGAATGACCTTCTTTTTTTGTCAGCAATCAAAATGTGGATTGATTTCCAAGTTTTCCTTGCTTTCTTGGTTTGTTAGTCTTAATACCAGAGATTCTTGATTACTGTGTCTTGTAGTCAAATAGTTTAAATCCACTAATGTTCTTCCTTTTCAAGACCTTACTTAATATCCTAAATTCTTTATGTTTCTCCTCAAAGAAAGGAGCAAACTTGCCTGTTGATTTTTGTAACTAAGCCTGTTTTTTTTTTGTTGGTGGTGGTTTTTTTTTAAGATTTATTTGTTTATTGTGTATACAGTGTTCTGCCTGTATGTTTTGCCTGCACATCAGAAGAGGGCACCAACTCTCATTATAAATGATTGTGAGCCAGAATGTGGTTGATGGGAATTGAACTCAGGACCTCTGGAAGAGCAGCCAGTGCTTTTTACCTCTGAGCCATGTCTCTAGCCCCTAAGCCTGTTATTTTTGTTAGGAATACCTGAATCTGCAAATAAATTTGAGGAAAAGAGACATTTCAATGTTTACATAGATTTTGCTCAGTTTCTCTGACACTGTTGTGCATTTTCAGTTTTACATTAAGTTTCTAAAGCACTATGTAATATTGTGATTCTTTTTCTCTTCCTGTAGACTCCGGATCAGGCTCAGTATCACTGTATGAGGTAGAGCGATGTCAGCAAGTCTCTGCTACAAGTAAGGCCACTCATAGTATAGTAATCAGCATGCAGATGCCTGTGGTTACAAGCTCTAACCAATTCCTTCTCACCGTCAATGACAATAGATCTTCAGGGGGCAGTCAGTGTTTGTGTTTAACTTTGATTCCTCTGCTTCATCCTGTAGTTCTATAAGAGAGAGCCCATGCACGTGCATATCTCTGTATTGAAAGTTATAGATCAATATGATTTATAGAATTTATTGTATTGGGTATGTTATTAGCTTATTGATATAAAATTATACTCTTGACATTAATTCAATAAAATTCTATCATATATTTAAGTCTGCAAACTTAAGACACTCTTTACACTATGCCCCAATTTTACTGACAACAGTAATAGTACACATTTACCACATTCATTTCTGTTATTTTAACTAACCTGAAAAAAAACTTTAATTCAGAAAAATGAAAATGTCTGTGAACAAAAGAATATTAAATAGTACAGTAAGTAGTTCATCAAATGTATGATGTTATAAAAATGAGTTTCTCCTCTTGAAGAAAGGAGTGTAAGTATGGGATGGGAGACTAGAGATTTATGTTTTGCTGGAACTGAAGATGCCTGTTCTCAGGCTTAGGATGCCCATATGAATACCATTGATGTGTTGTCATGCAGAGGCAATGACCTCCAGAAGCAATAAGCGTATGTAATGCACAGACAAATCTTGACCTATAAAAATACTCCTGGTGTCTTTGAAGAAAAGGCAGATTCCACAAATTAGAGATAAACCAAGAACATCCTGAATTGCCAGAAAATAAAGAAATTCTCAGTTAGTAGAAAATACCAAATCCAGGACAATGTGACCATCAAAATAAAGGTTAATGGTGGTTTAGAATTCATTAAGTAAAACTGGGATGTATGAATTTGGTTGCTAATAAAAGTTAATAAAATGTGATTGAATAGAAAGCTGTTAAAAGGTAGAATGACATCTAATAATTGAAAAAAATGTTTAAAAATCATTTTGCAAACATCGTGATAATTATTGGCTTAATTATGAATCAGTCTGTTTTAAACTATTGGACTCTACGTTGCTCCCTTACTAATTACAAGAGTGGGAAATTCATTCAGAGTAGAGAGATGCTGAACGTTCTTTACTCAACCACAGTTTCCTTTCCTGGAGGGCAAGGTCCTCTATCAGTCAGCTCCATAGGATACATTTAGAACCAGTGTCACATATGTAGTCTCTGTGCCAAAAATGCTTGATCTGAATCTGAGTGTGAGGAAATACCTCCTATACCTAAAATAATGCTTACTCAGCAAAGTATTTCCTTGTCAAGTCAATGCTGTGAAGTAACCCAAATAGATTGGGAATCATTTGAAGTCAGAATGTGAATGCATGAAAGACAAACATTCTGCATTGTTATTACTAGAACAGAAAGGTAAAGACAATTGAAGTGATTTAAGTATCTGATAATCCCATAATAGTGTGAAAACCTTGCTAATTGTCTTTGAAACAGACTGTAGGTATGTCAATGAAACAGATTGTTCTCATAAAATAATTGTTAGGAGAAAACGGGACATAATGTCTAGAAGCTGTTGCTAGTAATTCAGTTACACTATTTTAAGGAGAGAGACAGAAATAAAGGTAGATCCAGAGATGGTGTATTACAGCGTATTGAGAATGTCTATGTTGTTCTCACAGTTGGTCTTTAAGTTTGAAAGTAATACAGACTTTAAGTATTTTAAGACATTACCTCAAAATGTGAAGTGAGGCGAGTATTACATTTTATTTTAAATTGATCAGATCTACAAAGCACTAGTGTTTCACAACAAAGCTTAGCCACTTACTACAAGAAGGAAAATGTTTTTCCTTGAAGGTTTTGTTGAATTAAATCTATGTATAACCCTGACTTGGGGCTTTGTAGGGCTTCTGCACCAGCTCTGTTTTCTAAGTAGGGAAGTATTATCCTAGAATATCTAAGGAGCTGAGGAAGTTGAATGTTCTCTTCTGCTACTGTAACCCTAATCGCTTCCTTTCCTCCACACCTTCCTTTTCCTCCTCTCCCATTTCCCCTTTCCACTTAGAAAATGAATTTCTTTTATTTCACACACTGCATGGCTGATAATTGGGTTCCCTAACAAGCGTTTCCGTTCTCACATTCTGGCTTTTAACTGAAGGAGAGTTCAATACAGTCTTGAATTTGAGTTATCCATGACAAGAGCCTGTGTGGTAGATAATTTTTATTGAATATGTTTTGTTAATATCCGTTTGATAATATCCAGTTAAAATGTAAGCTGTTACCTAATGAGGTGTCTCAGAGGTTTGAAGTGAACTGTTTCACATTTTACACAGGTTAACATTTATTTTCTTATTGAAATATACCTTCCTGTTTTCCATAAATTAGAAGTTTCTTGGAAATTTCTATTAGTCCCATATAAAAACACATACCACATAGTATTTAGTGGTATAACGATATATAAGCACATGGTATATAATTAAATTACATCTTGTCTCAGGTAGTCAGCATCTGTTTAGTAAGTTTGGTGGGTCCCTGCTCTGTGCCTGGCACAATGTCCACGGGCCTTAGACACATATCTAGAAATAGTAACTGTAGCTGAGATTGATTTTATAGAGTATCTTAGCTTTAGGGGGATTCATGCCAAACACAGCTAAGACTCACATACATTATTTACTCTGATTTAATGTAAAAAAATCTTTACAGTACTCACAGATCACCAGTATTTAGAGAAAACACCATTGTGTGCCATTTTGAAGCAAAAAGCTCCTCAGCAATATCGAATCCGTGCAAAACTGAGATCATATATGCCCAGAAGACTTTTTCAGTCAGTTAAGCTTCTTTGTCCTAAATGTCATTCGTTGTAAGTATTATCTAAAATTTAATAAACAGGATTTTACGTCATATTATTGGTTGTTTGTATATATGCATGCCTGTGTGTGTGTGTGTAAAGTTTTAAGTGCTAAAATAAGCAAATTATGATTAAATTTGTAGTGTTTTAAAAGAATGCTGACGACTTAAAGGGAGAGTATTAAATTCCAACAAAGAAAATCCTTTTGAGTCATTCTTAGTAATAATAACTAAAAATAGATACTATTTTCAGGCTTGAAACTCAACTTTTAGTAAATTTGAAACACACAACTAAAAATTTTCAGTCATACTTCATAATGGTAATATAGTAAATGCAGTGTCTTTATTCCAAACACTAATTATTAGGTGACTGTTTAATTATATAGAACTTTTTGTAGTCTTAATTAATATGTATTTGAATGAAAAAAGAAAAGGACAGGAAAGGAAAGGACATGACTACTCCTGAGTATGGTGGAGGAGAAAGTTTATTATAGAAATGTTGCAGAATATAGTCAGGGGTTGGGACATCTGGGAGAGTCCAGAGTGGACATGGCCAGACTGAGCTGGGCCATGTGGGAGCAGGGAGGGAAAAGTGGAGAGGGGACCAGCAGCAGCAGTCAGGCCTAAGGTCCAAAAGGGGCAGGTAACGAAAATGTCCAGGTTATATAGGGAAGAGCCTCTGGGGAAAGGGCATTCCTGGGCTCGAGAGTTCAGGGTAGAGGGCTAGAGGGCGGGGTATGTGAGTCATACCCTGTAATAGGTAGACCTGAGGGATGCTGGGAGAACTTGGATGCCAGGTCTAGTTTTAATGTGAAATGGACACCTCAGCCATTTGTCCCAGGTTCGAAACTTAACAGTATTTATCTCAAAATATATTTAGATAATGAATTTTATCTCCAGTTGGTCTTTTTAATATAATGTGTCATATTACCTCAAGATAAAGAAAACGGTATTTTGGAAAATACGGTAGTGCATGAACATTGGGATAGCGTTCATCAAGCTGAAAGTCTAGTTCACTGTCATGTACAAAGCACACCTTTTCACATAATTTGTGTTTGTGTATGTATGTTTTTACTTACAAAGTCTGAGATTATTATAGTCTTTTTGGAGATATTTGATCCTTAAATCCCATTTCATAAAACTCAGGGAGTCTGCTTTCTACCCATATGATCTTGAACTAAAGTATCTTAGAGAATGTAAGATTGCCTGATGTTGTGCACAGCTGGTGACAGTCAGAACAAGTTCTTAGACCTTTTGATTCCAAGTCATGCCATTTCTACCCCATGAGAATTTATGTCACTGCATGAATTACTATTAAAGATAATAAGTTAATACTGTTTTAAAGTAGGTATCCTGTGACAGTGGGGTTAACTGGGATGAAAACAGAACTACTAATATAGGACAATAGATTAGTACTGGGAATGATTATAACCTTGAACTCTGAGCCAAGCAGAGATAGGTCAAGAGGTAAAGATGCTTGCTACCAAGCCTGATGACCTAATACCCACGTGGTAGGAAAATGTCCCTGACTTCTACACATGCACTATGGCATGTGTTTACCAACACAGGTACACTAACCATACAATGATAAATACCTATTGAATAAAATCCATTGAATCTGTAAAGTGAATTGTCTTCTGCATTTGAGAAAGCTTAGTTGATTTAATCTTCATATAAAGTAAGTTTTTTAAAATCTGTTCTGTGTTCACCGATTATATGTGTATGAGAATTGTACCTGCATGTGTGTATGTGCATCACGTATATGCCTGGTGCCCACAGAGTTTAGGACTGGAAAAGTTGTGCGACTCCATTTGGTTGCTGGGAAATAAACCTGGGTACATACAAGAATAGCAATGCTTTTAACCACTTAGAAGCCCCTAAGGTGGTTTTTTTCCTTGAATAGTTTATTAAATTGGAATTTTAGGAAATACCCATATATTATTTTCTGATATTCTGATACTGCATTTTCAAAATTTAGGCAAGAAGTTCCATACGAGGACAGTTTGGATAAAATTTTGCAAGATGCTGCAACTAAAGCTCCAAACAGCAATCTGCAAGATACATCACTGTATGACTCAAAAGTCTGGTCCACTGAAGGCCAAGGAGGACGGCAGGTCGCTGTTCATTTTGTGAAAAATGATAACATTCTCCCTCTTTCAAGTGAATGTCTAATTTTGATAGAAGGTAAGAGACTTGTTATTAGGCTTTTGGAATGTTGTTTTATACATTAATCACTGCTAACTCTATTTTACGGGCACCTAGTAAAATACTGTTACTTTACATTTCCCAAAACAGTACATCAGCTAGATTCAAATGTGTTTGGGCAAATACATTCCCCTGAATTGTATTTTCAAATTATGAATAATATTTGCATTTGTCTGCCTTGTTGAACTCCTGTCTCTAATCTTGTTGGTTCTGAGCAGATCTGGTTGGATTATCATGTAGTAGAAGGCTGATTGTTCATGTGCAGTGGTGTAGTCCTGGCCTCTGGATGTCACTGTTGTTTCATACAAATGGGATGGAAGTCCTCAACTGATACCTCAATCAGGGAAAAGAGCCTTGAAAAGCCTTGATAATGACAACTGTAAAAGGACTGGGATTGTACTGTTTTTATTTCCTCTTTTTAGAATCTAATTTTATATAATAGTTGATTGTCTTATTATCCTGCCAAGTTTAAGTTTTCAAGTTTATAACTCCCTTTTCTTTGTAGAACTTGCACTGTCTCATGTGTTAGGGATATCCCATGTCGTGCTTTGATTATATTTGTGTTAATGAAGTTTATTTTTGTTTCATTTTCTTTTTTTGAAGGAGGAAGGCTATGTGAAATCTCTAAACTATCAAGCAAGTTTCACAGTGTGATTCCTGTGAGATCCGGCGCTGAGGACCTGGAGCTGTTAGACCTTTCAGCACCATTCCTCATACAAGGAAAAGTGTATCACTATGGGTATGTGGCCAGCTCAAGATCTGCAAATTACAATTGTGTCTTTAATGTTTATCCTATGGCCTACTGTATATTCATAAGGTGCTTAGTGTCGTTACAAATTATTCCTGAGCTTCGATTGTGTTGGAGTTGTACAAATGAAGTACAGGTTAGGTGGACTGTTCTTTGAATTTTAAATTTTGATTTTTCCAATAGAGTGGCCTGTGGTACAGTATTCATATGCTAGGGAGAGAGAGCAAAGTCTAGTTTTCAGTGTGCAAAGATTAGCAACTGTGTGCTGAGCACTGTATTCAGTAGGTTAGATATATCGAGGCAACCCCATTGTTAGTTCAAGGGCATCTATATGAATGTGTGTGTATTGTAATGCACAGTGGGTATATACCTGAAATTTTTTTTGTTTTCTCACTGTTCGTTCAGAATAATCTTTTATTGTTTTTGTAAGGCTGTGGCTATCAGATATAGCTAATATAGCCATAAATTCAAGAGTTCCTGCAACTTCTCTCCTTTGTCTTTTTGTTTTAACAAGAAAATTCACAACCACATTAATTTTACCTAGAGTCCAAGTCCTGATTCCCAACTTATTCTGAAGCCCATTATCTTATTGTTTTGTTACTTTAAAGAGACACTATGACCAAGCAACTCTAAAAGAGAGCATTGAATTTGAGGCTTGCTTACAGTTTAGAAGGCAAAGCCTTGACATCACAGTGGGAGCATGGCAGGACGGAAGCAGTAGCTGAAGGCTTGCTGACATCTCACCTGCAAGTTGGTGTTAGAGCAAAATGGACCTGGTGTGGACTTTTGAGACCACAAAGCTCACTCTAGTGACGTACCTCTTCCAAAGAGGCCACACCTCCTAATCCTTCCTAAACTGTCCACCAGCTGGGATCCAAACATTCAAACCTATGAGCATCTGGGACTTTTGTCATTCAAGCCACTGCACTCACTGTATCTTTTATTGATTTTGTGTAGAAAGTTAATCATAGTTCTCTTTTGAAAGAAGCACTTTACAATATAGGCAATGTTATGCCCTTCTGTTTAGTAACTGACTTTCAAAAACTGTCCCTACTTGAACAGGATGTAATAATTAAATGAATTTGATTATATTTAAGTATTTAGTCATTTTTTTACTTATTTTATTTCAGATGTAAACAGTGTTCAAGTTTGAAAACTATACAAAACCTAAGTTCCCTTCGTAATAAGGGACAATGGATTCCTTCCACTGTGGCAAAAGGTTAGCTCAACTTCTGTGTTCTGTAGTTTAAGTTCTTCTGTCATTTCACCAATTTGTTCTTTAACATTTATGGATATTTTTGGTAGAACTAACCTAACTTTTCTAAATTGAAATGTGTTTACAATAATTGTGTTGAAAAAACGAGGACTAAATATTTAAGTCCGTTTTAGTTGGAGTTTCTATTGCTGTGCAAGGACACTATGACCATTGCAGTGGCAACCCTTATAAAGGAAAACATTTAATTGAGGTGGCAGATTACAGTTCAGAGGTTCAGTCCATTGTCATCATGGTGGTGAACATGGGAGTGTGCAGACAGGGTGCTGGCTACATATTGGTCAGAAGGCAGCAGGAGGTGTCCTGTCTTACTGGGAGTAGCTTGAGCATAGGAGACCTCAAAGCCTACCCCCATAGTGACACATTTCCTCCAACAAAGTCACATCTTCCCATAGTGTCATTCTTTTTGGGGGCCATTTTCTTTCAAATCACCACAAAATGCTTGAGATTATTTCTAAGCATTGTGATTACAATCATGTTTCAATACTTGATCATTTGTTTCCTGTTTAATCATTGATCCCAAATACAGATCCTGAAGAAATCTTTCTAATTCTTATCTTAGCATTGTAGAAGGTGTTGAGATTGCTGTTACTTTCCTCCCAAGTCTTGAGCCAGGACAGTCTCTTGCACGCATGTCTGTCACCTAGCCTTTGTTTATAGCTTCCTAAAGCAGGACACACCTTGCACTGTAAAGCATGCACCTAAAACTGTTCCATTAACTTGTAGTTTGTTTTTCTTGTTGTTGTTTGGTTGGTTGGTTTTTTGTTTGTTTCTTTGTGTGTTTGTTTTTCAAGGCAGGGTTTCTCTGTGCAGTAGCACTAGCTGTCCTGGAACTCTGTAAACCAGGCTGGCCTCAGACTCAGAGATTTGCCTGTCTCTGCCTCCCTCCCGAGTGCTGGGATTAACGGTGTGTGCCACCACTGCCCAGCTTCTATTCCTGTCTTACTGTTCTTGAATACTAAAATTTTGTCTGTGCCTAATTTATTCTTCTGATTAACTAATTAATTAATTAATTAATTCTCCCACTGAATATGGCTGCTTTGATGCAGTGTCTTCAACTTCTGAAAAAAAAAAGATGTTCACCTTGCTAGTGAATCCTCATGTGATTTGGTATATCTAATTTATTCATTCTTTACCTTGGCCAATTATGGAATCCCAAATTCTGAGTTTTGTTCTTTCAACCAAATGACATCTGTTTAAAAGGGTATTCCACATCCATAATACAAAGAGGAACATACTTTTAAAAATACTGAACTACATGTTACTTTTTAGAGCATTCTGTAATTTTATTTTTACTTTTCATAGGATTAGCATGCAATGTGCTATATTTTATTAATCACTTCTTGTGCTTTCTATCAAGTATTAGGAATAAGTTTCTTACATCATGAGTTTAACCCTGTATGAATACAGTGGTCTGCTGCATGACTTCAAAAAGTTGATACTGGAGAAATCCTTCTGATGTACACATTTTCTTTCTGTTGTAAATAGTCTTAGTAAATGTCATTTGCTACTATATTAAAACACTTTCAACTTTACCTTTTCAAAGTATCTAACTGCCTTGTATAATATGCTCTTTTGCCTCACTAGTTCTGGGCATTGTGCCTCTACAGTATGTGTTTGTTATGACTTTTACTCTGGATGATGGAACAGGAGTACTAGATGTGTACCTCAAGGATTCTGTAAGTAACAGAACTGGTAAAGATATTTAATTTAAAATTTGAATATATTCATACTTCTTAGGTTTACTTCATTGTAATTTATTGAGAACTTTTAGATCCAAAACTCAGTTTCTCTGTATTTTGTTCTTTAAGGGATTTAAAATAACTTATATAAATAGAATATAGCCACATAAATCTAATGTTACATATGTTTTACTTTTTATTTACTGTTAAGAAATATAAAGTTGAAGAATCAAAATCAGAAGAGTCACTGTCCTTGCCATCCATAAATTTCATAGTAGATGAAAAAGCAGATATCTAGCTACACTATTGTCATCTCACTGTACTTTGGAAGCTGTGTGGTTTCATCATAAAGGAAATGAAGTTACTTGATAAACAAATAATATTGTTGTGTAAGCTGTAGAGATGCCCAGAAGACTACTGCCATGTCTGACACTCGTATCTGTTCACTGACTAGTCTTTGTGGCCACCCCTCCCTTTGATCATATACAAGGTCTTCCTCTCCCTACTGGCAGAGACTGTTACTTTCCCTGCACTGTGTACAACAGTGTATGTGGAGTCCTGAAGCTTAACCTAGACCATAATGTGATTTCTTCACATATGTTGTCTTTCATAATTGACTGCCCATATGGCTTATGGTTCTCTTGCTGAGGTCAAGCTAATGTTGCATGTCCCAAACTCAGATGACATTGTTAAATGTTCCAGAATAACTGATAGTTCCAGTAGACACAGTCAAGTCACTGGTTCCCATAGGCATGAAATACTAAAAGCTAAGAGGAAATCCAGCCAGCCATTTGTCTGGGTAAGAGATTTTTTTTTGGTGGGGAGTGGTGGTTTTGTTTTAACCAACATAAGATGGGAAACAATCCAAGTTGATGTTCAGAGATTTTTTTTTCTTCTGGTTTTCACAGTTCACCCAGGTACTTATTACTAAGTGAGTATTTATTGGGAAGCCGCTGTGTGCCTTGTATGTTTAAGATAGAATAGTTAACAACACAAGACAAATGTTTTCTGCAGGTTGAATGGAAAGACATTAAATAAATGTTATTTAATGTTATATCTTTTCATACTTAATAGATTTACTTGCTAGGGTACAAAAGCATCATCAGCCTTGCTGCATGATCTTACTGTCTATGTGTGTATATATCTCAAAGCAGCTTAAGAATTACAGCAGTGAGGGGGCTGGAGAGATGGCTCAGAGGTTAAGAGCACTGACTGCTCTTCCAGAGGTCCTGAGTTCAATTCCCAGCAACCACATGGTGGCTCACAACCATCTGCAATTCAATCTGGTGTATATGTAATAAATAAATAAATATTTAAAAAAAGAATTACAGCAGTGAATCAGGTTTTAGCTTAGACCCGTATTACAGTTGATGAATTCCATAGCCTTAATAGACTGGCATATATGATATAGTATGTTATGTTCGCAAAAGAGATAGTAAAAGTCTGTGCGTTAAAGCTTTGTCTTTTTTTATTTTTTTATCTTCAATTTTATTATATAAATGTTTTGCCTGTATGTATGTCTGTTTACCATGTATGTACCTTGTCCCTATGGAGATCAGAAGAGGACGTCAAATTCCCTGGAATAGGAGTCTGCTGTGATAACTGTGTGGGTGCTGTGACTCTAACCCTGGTCATCTGCAAAAGCAGCCAGTGCCTTTAATCCCTGAGCCATGTCTCCACCTCCATATTGAAGCTTTTTCAAAGGATGAGCATTTCCTTTTTTATCATCACTTTTAGGAGAACTTTTTCAAGATCCCAGCATCAGAAGTCCTCAATGATGATGATCTTCAAAAAAGTCTAGAAACAATCATGGATATGATGTGCCCTCCAGAAATAAAAATTGGTAGGCAATATTCAAATGATACTTCCTGTTTCTTCTGAGAAAAACACCTCATGTGTTTCTAATAAGTAGACTGTGAAAGTGAGCAAACCATGAGTCCACATGAATTACTAGATTCTGGTAACTGTTCCCATCTTTTGATGAGATAATGACTAAGACAAATATACGTAAAGGAATTTTAAAGTATTTTGAAATACACTTTTTTTTTATCCAACTTTTTTTTAAATTTATTTTTCAGTTTAAATTTAGATTAGAAACAAGGTTGCTTCACAAGTCAGTTCCAGGTCCCTCTCCCTTTCCTTCCCCTCCTCCTGTGCCCTCCCCCCAACCCTCCCATTATCCCCTCATTTCCCCAGGGAGGGTGAGGCCTTCCATGGGGGTGTCCCTAGTCTGTCATTTCATACAGGGCAGGGTCTAGACCCTCCCCCAAGAGTTCAGGGTGAGAGTGCATCTCACATTGTTGGATGGGAGTCACTTTTAAAGCATAACACTTTTGGCCCCAGTACAGTTGACTCTGAATTTACATACACAGCATGCAGACATTGAGACTGCAGCTATACCAAAAGGATACAATTTCCACAAGAAATATGTCTTACAAATAAACTGCATTTATTTTATTGGACTCATTGTTGGGTTTTCTTTTCGCCGTTAGTGACTTCCAAATTTTCAGCTTTTACTTTTCAAAGTTTATGAACTTCAGTTGTTTCTGCAACAACACTGGCTTGTCAACATGCTCCTGCACAGATGAAGTTATACCAGTTATAGCTGGCAACATGTTCTTCTGTGGTCAATGATTCCTTTTCTCTTGGACCCTGCAAATTAAGAAGCTTGATTCTTCCAGTAATTGTTCTCAATAACACGCCTTCCCTCAGCCTGCTTATCTGTTGCTGATGTGACTATTAGAGGTCTCCTGGTGAGGCTATGGTCTGCCAGTCAATCTGTGTTGTAGCATTGCTTCCCAAGAGATGGGAATGTTTGCTCATCTGGAGAAAAGTTTAATTTGGATACATTTGCTTTGTTTTAATTTGTGTTGGCTGTTGGAATGACCATGGGTAGATCTCCAATATGAAGTCTTTGGGCCTGGTAACTTTTGAAATATACAGACAGCCAAGCTATTTTTAAAAAATATTTTAGAATGTACAGTTCCACTAGTAATGCACAGAAATGCCTTGCTTTTTGCTAGTTGGACTTGAGGGCTATATCGGATAAAATTCAAATAGATCAGCATTACCAGTTATGTGTTTACGTTAATGGTTAAATGATCTTTCCTTTGGTCTGTAGATGCATACCCATGGCTGGAGTGCCTCATCAAGTCCTACACTGTCACCATTGGAACAGAGCAGAGAATTTGTTACCAGATTTTTGACACCACAGTTGCAGAAGACACCATCTAGTGATGCCACTCAGTACAGTGGGGTTACAACTCTCTGTGAGATTCTCAGAAGACACTTCACTATTGTCAAAGTATTGGACCCATGTTCTCTATAGTTGATTTTTGTACAGAAAGTCATGTTATTGTTATTTATGCCTTCTTGTGAACATGTTAAAAATGCATTGATGCTCAACATATCCAGGGAGGTACAATATGAAGCTATAGCACTTGAGGACCAGGCTTTCTTGACTCCCATTTATAAAACACTGGTGGCTACTTTTCATCCTGTGCTGTTTCATTTGTCTATGGAAGAATCTGCCTAACCACCCTGCTGAAAGAAGTCTTGTGCTTCCACATACAAGTATATGGTTAGCTGAATTTCACTTGAACAAATGTTATATCTGAGTGAGTCTCCGTATGCTAAAAGCAGTGATTGCTTTAAGTAGACATGGAAGAATTGTTTTGTTTAGGTCATGATGTTGCTCATTTTAGAATAAATGTTATCTCTTTAAAACCAATAGTATATTTGACTTCCTGCTTCTCTCTGTAATACTAAAGTTATTCCATTTCTTACCAGATAATAAACTAATAAAATTTATAGGTTTTGTGGGTCATATGTATTTTATTTTTTCAATAATCTTATATAAAATATTCCTATACTACAAATGTTGAGTTGTTAGCTTATTAAATGGTCTTCTTTTTATTCAACAGACTTTATCAATTTATAGGGTGGCCTCTGTGTGGCTTGAACCTATATAGGCCTTATATGTGCTGTCAGAGTCTCTCTTGAGTTTATGTGTATGTCAGTCCTGAGTGAATACGGGGTCTTGTTTCCTTGGTATCTTCTGTTGTGATACTTTGTTTGTTTTCTGACAGACAAAGCCTGCCTGGAGATCAGAGGGCAGAGCTAGCCACAAGTTAACCATAAAGGTCTGGAGGTCTGGACAGAGAGGAGACAGGAAATGACAACAAGGGGCAGAGACAGGATCTTGGCCCTTTCAGTCTGAGGATTCGGAGAGGTAAGTAGTGACTGTGGCTGCTCCTTTGCTTTCTGATCTTCCAGCATTTACCTCAATTGTTGACTCCAGGTTTTTATTGATAAGACTAACTAGTATCACGCTTAGGTCTTCCATCCCCCCCGAATCTTAACAGTTTTTCTGACTCCTCTTCAGCATAGTTCCCTGAACCTTGAGAGCAGAGGTTTGATGAAAGAAATCCTATTTAGGGAGCCCATGCCTAACATTGCCTGGAGGCTAGGAACCATAGATTGGATAGCCCAGAGACCTAGGGTAGAACCATATGACTGGCAAAAAGGAAAAAAAAAGGGGGGAAATGATTCCTAACAATAGTCTTCTGTACTCATTGATCAGTGCCTTATCCTGTCATCTTCGAGAGGCTTCCAATGGAAAGCAGTGCAGAGACCCACAGCCAGACAATATGCACAGAGAGTCTAAATTAGAGTCTCCATCAGATCCCTCTCCCTCAGCACTCCAGGAATCCTGTACATTGGGGTGGAAAGATGATAGGAGTTGGGCAGGAGGATGCAGCACAACATGGGCCAGTGGATCAACTAAGCAAGGCTAGTATGAGCTCACAGAGACAGACATAGCAAGCATGGGGCCTGCAATGGTCTGCACCGTACCTATCTTGTATATGTTACGGCTGTTAGCTTGGTGGTTTTGTGGGACTCCTCGTAGTGTACTTCTCACTCTTCCATACTCTTGGGACTCTTCCCAATATTGGATTGCCTTGTCCCGCCTTGATATGAGAGCTTTTGCCTTATCTTATGGTTGTTGTCTCTCTCAGGCCTGCTCTTTTCTGAAGGGAAACGGAAGGAGAATGGATCTGGGGGAGAGAAGAAATACAGGAATGGGGAAGCTGGGAGGACTGGAGGGAGGCAAAAACTGGTCAGGATGTATTGTATGAGAGAATATTCTATTTTCAAGAAAAAAGTCCTGTTTAGGTGAGTGTTCCAAAATATCTCTCGCTTTGCATACTGTGCCATTGTGTGTCTCTGTGTTGGTTCTCATGTCCTCTAAGATGAAGCTTCCCTGATGATGACTGAGGGAGGCACTGATCTGTATGGTGTGATGGCTACTCTAGATTTTCAACCTGACTACATCTGGAACAAAAACCTCAAAGTGGAGGGTACACTTAGGGAGGGATTTGCTTAATTTATGAAGTAGGAAGGTCTACTTCTAATTTGGATCTTTGAGTAGGAAGACAGGCCTTTAACCCATATCGTTTGATCTGGGAAAAATACATGCCTTCAGTCCAGAGAACAGCAGGGTGTTAGTGGCTCATGCCTTTAATCACAGCACTCAGGAAGCAGAGGCAGGTGGATCTCTGTGAGTTTAAGGCCAGCCTGGTCTACAGAGCAAGTTCCAGGACAGCCTCCAAAACGATACAGAAACACCATGTCTTAAAAAATCAAAAAAAAATAATAATAATAATTCAGAGAACCATGACTAATAATGCATACAGGTATAGCAGAATGTTGTTAGAAGTCATTTATTGCTAAGTCCCTTCAGCAGAACAATAGCATTTGGTTTTCCCCTTAGCCTGTGATCTATACTGTCTGGTTCTCAACTAACTGGGCAGTTCCAGACATCTCCCGGAGTTCCATCTCCCAGAGTGGGCCTTACATCGAATCCGATTTTTTGGTTTTCCCACATTGTTTTTTCCACATTACACCAGGGTATCATAAAGCAGGTCATGGTGTAGATTACCAGGGTTGGAGCTGGGTTGGTGTTTACCTTCCTCATCTAGTAGTAGCATGCAGAGTTCTTCCCAGTACAACAATGAGTACTACTCAGTAAAGATAAAGGCTCTATTTCACACCAGCTCAACTTTCCTATGTTCAATTAGATGTATGTGTGTTGTAATTTGTAACCCATTTCAGGCACTGTAGGTTTCATTTGATGGTGAGAAATTACCACTTAGTGTATTATTTCTCCCATTGTTTTATGAATCCACTTAGAATTCTTTCATATATTTATGTATTCTAAGAAGCTTCTACTACAGTAGGTTTCCTTATAAACCCTTCAGTTCAATGGCCCTTACTGTTAGTAATCCCTTCCTGTATTCCCTCCCTGACCTCGTACTTCCCCCTCTTTCCCAGTCATCTATTCATTGTCAATGAGCCCATGACGTTATTGATGTTATTTCAGGGCTCTGCAACATGTATTGCCACTCACCAAGTTTCACCTGACTGCATTTGCTGCTAAGTGACAGATCTGCCAACAGCAGATAAGACCCCATTTTCCATGATCAGCCAGAAACCTGGTGGCAGGTGGGTTACATTGGACCCCTTCTTTGGAAAGGACAATGCTTTGTCTTTACTGGAGTAGATACTTATTCTGGATATGTTTCCTGTGCATAATACATCTGCCAAAATGACCATTCATGGTCTTATAGAATACCTATCCACAGTCAGTATTCTGCACAATATTGCTTCTGATAAAGAAATTCACTTTACACCTGCAGAAGTACGACAGTGGGCCTATGATCAAGCAACCTACTGGTCTTACCATGTTCCCCAACATGATAAAAAGATGGAATAGCCATTGAAAGACATAGTTACAATGCCAGTTAGGTGGCAGCAACCTGGAGGGCTGGGGCTGGGTTCTCCAGAAGGCATTATATGCTCTGAATCAGCATCCAATATATGGTACAGTTTTTCCCATTGCAGGATCCACAGGTCCACCCCTAGTGACCTACTAGGAAAAATTTTTCTTCCTATTCCCTCAACCTTAAGTTCTGCTATCCTAGAAGTTTTGGGTTAAGGCAAATTGTCGCACCTGCTGAGCAGCCTGCATCTGAGAGTGTAGCCAGGTGATCGGGATAGATGACACAGAGACCGGTCGGTTGCTTTAAGAAAACTTTATCTCCCCAAGTCGGCTTAGGAGAACTCCCCAAGAAAAAACGCTTCCCTTTTAAAAGACTTCTGCCATCCATCCACACACAATTCTCCAACCGTGCTCTCACACACCTCTCACAGCTCTCACAGACTTCTCACCCTCCTGGCTGGTGGTTTAATCTCCGGCCCCAGAATTGGGGAGAAACAGCAGGGAGCAGGAAGAAGCATCTAGCCGTACATAGGGGGGATCAAAGTCATGGTGTTTCAGTGAGCCAGCCCTTATCGGAGCCCTATCAAGAGCTTTATGGCACTGAATTGTTTTCAGTAAATATTATCTCGCAGCTGCCTGCTCCCAGTCTGATGGAGGGGTGGGTTTCCGGCCAGGGTCTGTGATCCCCACAGCAGATCTCATGGTAGGGGCATGTGGCAGAACATAGCTGCCTACTATGTGGTGATAAGGAAGGAGAGAGCCTTAGAATTCCTTCATCCTGAGGTGATGTCTGTTCTTGATGGTAGGGTTTATTTATTGGATGCTGAAGAAGGGTGAATCCCATTTTCACATTCATTCTGTTAGTCTGTATGTTTTTATTGAGAAATTGAGACCATTGATATTTAGAGATATCAATGACCAATTCTAGTTGATTCCTGTTATTTAGGTGGTACTGGATGTATGTGTATCTTTTTATTAGAAAATTGAAACCATTAATACTAAAGTTCTCAATGAGTACTGTTTATTTGATTTTGTTATTTTATACTGTTATGGTATAGGTCCCATGTTTTGATTTACTAGTTTGGGATTGTTTATTCCTTGTGTAGTCTTGGATGTGGTTAGTCTCTTTAGATTCAGGTTTTACTTCTCATGCCTTCTGTATGACTAGATTTGTAGATAGATATACTTAAATTTGATGTTATTTTGGAATGTTTTTCTTTTTCCAGCTACTGTGCTATTTTGTAATAGGTTTTCTGTATCTTGATAATAGGTTTCTCCACTGGCTCAATAAGTCAGATCAAGCCCAATAGAAAAAGAAAAAAGTTGAGCAAAGCAGCTCCCAGATGAGTTCTCCAGTCCCAGGAGAAGTCACATGCCTGATCTAACGAAGTAAAGTTATATAGCCTATAGGTGAGGGGTAATGACATGTGATAGTCTACATGTGCTTTAAGAAAAGCTTCTTTGATTAGGGGTAACGACTACACTTGGGTATAAGGATAAGATTCATATTTATAAGGATAAGTTCACATTTACCTAAAATTATATACATTGCGTATAAGCAAATATATATACATAGGATATACATAAATAACAAATGAATATGAAGGAAATTGTGCCTCTTAGGCTGACAATGCTCTCCACAAGAACAATACCAGGCACAGGAAAATTCCTTTTGAATGCTTGGTCAGGGTATTCCAGTTAACTCTCAAGACAATATAGACTATTGCTAATGTTCTTTGCTGCTTCTCAGAAGTTGTGGTGCTGAAGACACCACCACACAGTAGAGACAAAGAGCTCAGATTATTTTAACTTATTCTAACCTGAAAGCCACCTTCCTGCATTCTAGCTTCCATGGTACCATGAAATACTGTGCAAGCGGCCATGAGAAAGAAGCAGTTGATAGTCCTAACCAGCTGTGACATCTGTGAACCACGACAGCATGGTAAGATGTTGATGCAATTTTAAAATACTTGTAAAGGTACAATAGTGGTACTCACTTGTCATTGATAACCAACAACTTTGCTTATTGGACTTAGGTCCTCCTGAATAAGAGGGAAATCATACCTGGCACTAGAAACCTAGCCAATTTCATGGTGCTGGTAAGATCATGGATCTTAAAAAAGAATCTATTTCTCCTCTTTGCTAGATCAGTTTATTTCCTAACTACATTCTAAAGCTTATCCTCATAGCCATAGTTAATAGAAGTAATAATATACAATTAAGAGTTTTAAACAAGCGAGTATATGTGAAGTTACTACTGACTTAGCTGTGATACCAGAGGTCATTTTAATTTGCCAAGCTGTTTCCAGATTCTTTCCCTAAGAACATGTGTATATTCTTTGAAATAAAATTATGTTGTAAACACAGTACTATTAATTTTTCTTTTGACACCTTCTATAGTAGGCTTGTTTCTTATGTCCATGTTCAGAGAGGAAGAAGGCCATTGCTTAAAGGCCCTTCTGGTGGTAATTTTGTGATTACTTTTCTTGGATGCCTGTTGTGGTTTCTATTAAATATCTTATTTCCCGTTATTTAATTTTGAATGATTATAAGAACACATCTTTGTTTCTGTGTAGCTACCTCTGTAAATTCATAGTTAATCATGTTATACTATATTATTAATATTACTTCAATCTATCTTCGGTCTTGTTTCTCCTACAGATGAATCTTGAGGTCCTAAACTGATTTCACCATATCTTGTACACTGTAGTCTATAGAGTCTTAGGTATAAGTATTTTGGAGACTCACTTAGAATAGAACTACTGTGGCACTGTTCCCTGGAGATACTTTCCATGCTTTAACAGATTCATAGGGACAGAAAAACAATGGAGGGAAGGACACCTTCTATGTGGTTTTACTAAGAATTTCAAACTTGATTAAGTCTTTGACAACTCACCCCAAAATCGTAGAATATCATCTTGGAGAAAGTAAAAGCTATGTTGCTCTGCTGGTGCCTTGGGATCTCTAGATGGTTTTGTAATCTTTCCTCATCCATCAGAAAAGTATGGATTTCAACAGCTAGTAAAATCTAGATGAAACAATATGTCTTTGCCCCTGCATCCTGGGAACTTAGGAGCACTCGTGTGTAACATTATATCTACATAGAGGTCAGGAAGTAGTTCACAAATGCTATGTATTACTTTTCCCTGCAGCATTGTGATTAGAACTCCTAGGAAATTTGAGACGAGTTAAAGTTTCAAAGTGGAGATCTTCTTACAAGGAGATAAATGTCCCTTCCAGTTAAGTGTGCATTTAATGGTTGCAATGTCTCCAGCCTCCACTACCATTACAGAGGTAAGAGGAAAATGTTTCTGACTGTCAGGTCTTGATGCATTCAGTCAGGGGGACTGCTGCTTTCAGACGGTGGCAACATCTTAACGAAAGTCTACTTATGTTTGTACTTGAAATATGGACCATAAAGTCACACATTGGGAGGAAGAAGAAGAAAGTGTGTGGAAGTGTGTGTATAGAGAACCGTGGTCTGTTTTGATTCCTTACAGATGTTGTCCTTTACCTGACAATCACCTGAGAAAGCTGTTTGTACCTAGTGTGGGTTTCTTCCAGTACCTCTACTTGTTAACAGTGTTTCAAAGAGTTAGAGTATGTATCTGTTAAAAACCTTAACCTCCATGGGTGTTGGTGGCGCATGCCTTTAGTGCCAGCACTCAAGACATAGAGGCAGGTGGATCTCTGTGACTTTGAGACCAGCATGGTCTACAAAAGCTAGTTCCAGGACAGCCTCCAAAGCCACAGAGAAACCCTGCCACAAAAAAAAAAAAAGAAAAAAAAACAAAAAACTTAATCTCTGAATCATCTAGTAACAAAACATTTCTTTAAATATTGTTGCAGTCTCTAAAAGCATATAAATATGTTTCTGTTTGTTTGTTTTAGAATAGTTTTTCTTTACTTGAAATCAAATTAATTCCCAAATGAAAATCAATAGGTTTTATGCAGACTATTATTCATCTGACTTTTGACTTCCATTTAGAAGGGAGTTTTAAAATTTCAGTATTTTGCTAGACTTAGCTGCTTCATAAGTAATTTTGTTTCCTCCGCTTCTATGACAATTAACAAAAGCATGCATGTATAGCTAAATACCAGTTTCTTGCAGCACTATAGGGAAAATAAAACTTCAGTGTTTTGTTTTGGTCTGCTTTGGGTTTTTTAGTTTTGTTTTGTGAGGATCTCACAACCCAAGCTTTTCTCCCCAGTACTAGGATTACAGACATTTACTACCACTAAAGCTCCAAGGTAAGATCTTGGTAAATCAGAATTATTAACCTGTGGAGTCAGATGAAAACTGTTTGCTGTAGGTAAACATTATTTTTTTAAGGAAGTCTTAATGTGCTTTATCCTTATTGGATAAATTCCTACAAAGGGAAATTTGTCCTTGAATGTTGAAATCACTGATACATATTCCTACACAATGACCAAAACATAAATGGAGGTTATGATAAAAAATACAATGTGCAAAATAGGTATTTAAAGGTCAGCTTAGAAATTGATATTGAGTTATTACTCATACAGGATGTACCTGAAAATGACTTGTCACGATTTGTAAAAAAAAAAAAAAAAAAGGCAAATAGGGGACATGCCTTTAGAAGAAGGACAAGAATGAGGCCAGGCATGGTGCCACAGTCTTGTAATCCCAGAACTTGGGAAGTGGGGGCAGGATCAGCAGTTCGAGGCCAGCATTGGGTATAAAGCAAGTTCAAGGTGTCTGTGCTACTGTGTCTGGAAATAATACAAGTAAAAGAAAAAAGGAACTTTGGCAAGAAAACATGTACACAATCAATTCTAAGGAATGCTAATAGGGTGTGAAGAGTGTACATGAAGTTATATTTCTCTTATTGAATTATATATATATATTATTAGGTTATGCAAAATTGCATGTTAGTCTTATTCATGACAAAATAGATTTACATAATCTATAAGTAGAAGAATAATATGTTTTATCAAAAGTAGTTGAAGTGCAGAAACTTAATAAGAATAGCAGAGAGTTCTTTTGAAAATGGAATGAAGTCTACATATTTTAAAACTATTATAAACAGTAAGAAGTTACTATGTCAAAATCATGGAATTTTTTTAAAACTGGAAGAGGTTTTCTCTATTGACAGGAAATGACCTTGAGGAGACAGGCTCTTTTTCCTGCCCAAATCCAGATGCTGGCAGGCTTTGCATGCCATGCTTCATGTCAGGAAAAACATGGGCTTTAATAAATCATTGTCATTTGGACTATGCATTCCAGTTTTTTACCCCCATTAAGATCTTTCTTTGGTTAGATGTTTAGCGCGTAACCGTTGCCCACTGGGAGTTTCCTGAAAGAGGAATTAATCTACAGTAAATTTACTAAGTTCCAAATTAACAAACGTTAGGACCAGCCACCCTCTTTTTTTCTGTGTATTCTACATTCAATCCGTTAGAAAAAGAATGATGCATTATTCTTCAGTTCTGCACTTCCCCTTCCCCTACTACTGTGCTGCCCATGCTAGGCTAGTATCTTTTCTTGCCTGAACTGTAAACGTAACTTTTGCGTGGTCTTCCTGCTGCACGGTGTCCTCACAAGACTCCCTCTGCAGCCAGGATGAATTGTTAAAATGCAGAGCAGATGTCTGTATTTTCTAGTCTCATATAGTGACGCTGTGATGGCCGTTACCAACCAATGTGCTTCTTTTTCCTTTCTGTGACTCCGGTAGCTTATGTTGATGCTCTTGTCTTCTGTTATCCAAACACTGATCTCTGTTTCTTCAGCACACCAGGCAGACAAAATCTCCGCCAAGGGCTTGGTAATTAATGTTCCAGGGTGTATGTACTCCACAACATCTTTAATACTACAGTCACTGTCAGACTATCCTGATGATATAAAATCCACCCTGTCCTGTCACATTTACCCACCTTGCATCTTGTGTTTCTCCTTTGCATTAATCCATTGATTTATTTATCTGTTTATTTTGTTTTCTTTCCCCAATAGAGTATGAGTACCTTAGAAGCCAGGACTGAGCTCTGTTTATTTCTCAGGACCCAGAGTCTAGAAATTGTTGACATGGTATAGCTGGTTTCTAATGTCCCTAATATGAAAGGATCCTACCACATTAGAAAGCCCCTTCACAAATCAGAGTACTAGCATGTGTTGATACCATCAGTGGTGTTAAGCCAGCAGATATCTGAAAGCCAGATATTCACTTTCAACTCTGAACCCTATGTCATTGTTACGCAGAGTGAACAGGGAGTCTTTGCAGCTCATGCCCAGTATTGTGCATTGTTAGCTGTGTTATCTTGTAAAATATTCAGACGCGCTTTTAGAAGTTATGGGAATATAGTGCCTATGTGTAGTGCCTACTCTTCAGGCTTTTCCTGCTTGATTCAAAAAACATTCAAGTAAAAGCACCTCACACTAAAATCTGCAACATTGTGATTCTTAACTCTGGTTTCACATTACATTTAGCTTTAATGTCAAATTCTCAGGCATCACCATCAATTTTGGTTCAGGGCTTCATGGATTCAACATGTGACCACATGGCTGAAATTAGCTGGCTAAGTCTTTGAACACTGGAAACATGAAAATGTCAGGGAGAGTGGTGGACTGAATGAAACAATGCCCTGAAATGCTCAGACTTGAGTACAAAGAGCTCTCATAAAGGGCCCAGTGGTGTTACCCTGTTGCTGTTCTCCTAGAAAGACTTCAGTTTATTCTACTCTTGTTTTTCTGATGCCTCAACATCCTTCTAAGCCCTTCTACAGTGGTGACAAAGGGAAAAAGGTGCACGCTCAGTTAATTTGGGGACAACTCCAGTCAAGATATTGCAGACAGCAATGAAATGGAGGAATCATTGAACTAATTTACATTACTTAAATAATTTTCTTTTTTATTTCAACCTCTATTTTCTCAATACCTCATTCCTATTATGTAAAAGATAACTACTGCAGAAGGACCAACTCCAAATGGCAGAAATCACTATGTGCTAGTAGGCCTGACCTGATATTTAAAAGAGGGACTAATTTGACTAAGGTCACCACTGAGGATGGAACAGAAGCACTGCGAATGAACACATTTTTCCTAATTAAGTCAACCATGAGAAAGGAATGGAATATGAAGTGTCTCCTGTCCTCCCGACAAGCTGCTGTTAATGACATGATTGCCAGTTGATGGGCTTTCAGAAAGTTATTGTTAAGGAGTCTGATCAAGTCATTAGATTAATGTATTGCTGAATTCATCATTGAGTGGGTTATTAGGAGGTGGCAGAAATTGAGTTGTGTGGCCACACTGGATAAATCTGGTCTCTGTAATCATGCACTTCAAAGGTATTTCTTTTCCCCACCTCTCGGCTTCCTGAACAACAGGGCCTAACATAATCGTCTTCACTCTACCATACGCTCTTCACATTAAGGTTATGTGGACAGTAAACCATTAGCTCAACACTGAGAAGCTGAGACAGAAAAAGTCCTACCCCGCTGTTGTTGCTTGTTTAGGAATGTCATCAAGCTGACCAAAAGCTAGTTAGCATGTGTCTTTGCACTCAGCGAGAGATTTCATTGCCTTCTTCCCTTTGTTCAGGGCTGGTAGAACCGCCTCAGTATCAGTAAGCCATAAGTGCCTGCTAAAACTTACCAGCAGAATGAATCAGACTGCTGCTGATAGTGATGATCTTCATAGGATTTTGTTTACTTGGCAAGCATTTCAGTGCTGCTGTTCATCATTGAAGGAAGTCAGGACAGGATGTCAAACAGCAGGATCCTGGAGTCAGGAGCTGATGAGAGGCCATGGAGGAGTGGCTCTTACTGGCTTGCTTCTCATGGCTTGCTCAACCTGCTTTCTTATAGAACTCAGGACTATTAGGCAAGGGTTGGCTCCACCCACCATGAACTGGCTCTCCCCCATTGATCAATAATTGAGAAAATGCCTTACAGCCAAATCTCATGGAGGCATTTCCTCAGCCTAGACTCCTTCCTCTCTGATGACTCTAGCTTGTGTCAAGTTGACACATGTAACCAGCCAGTATAGCAACTTAATGCAGTTTTGTAACAGTATGCTTATTATTTTAGCTTAGACAGAATCTTACTCTTAGCCAGGGCTGACATGAAACTATGTAGCCCAGGCTGTCATGGAACTATGTAGCTCAGGCTTTCTAGGCACTAACTAATCTTTAGCCTCCCAGTACTCAGACTACAGGCATGAGCCACCACACCTACTTAGGTGTTTTGCTCAAATGTGGGTGTGAAAATAAGTATTGTTACAGCAGCAGTTTTAACATCTTCACATGTGGCTGGGCTCTAGAATAAGTGGACAAACAATA